CCCCAAAACCCCAAAACCCCAAAACCCCAAAACCCCAAAACCCCAATTGGGTATTCTCAAGTTGAAACTTTTAGCCTTCAAAATCCTCAGTGATGATAGTTTGCTGTGTTTTTGTAAATCAATTGCCAAGGTCAAGTTTTGCTGATGCTTCCTCACATCCTTCAATACTAGTCAAGTCTACGCTCTTTCTGTACTCCTGTAGTTTGTCTGTGACCTTCCTGATCTTTCCATACAGTTCACGAATAATGTTGTAGTAAGGAGGATTAATGCATCTTTTCTTGAACTGTCCCAAAGTGTGGCAGATAGGAATCACCAGCTCAGGGAAAGACATGGACCGCTTGATAATCTCTAGATGGTTCTTTAGCTCCTCAATACAAGATTTAAAGACATAATCTTTAGTCTCAGTCTTATCGTAGAAATCTTTACTCAGCTTGAGAGCGACTTCGAAGTTTGGGAGTGCCTCTTTTGCTGATTTGGTCTTTCTGTTTAAAAAGTCATCAGTCCCTGTGAACAAATGAAGAATGTATTGAGCCACTGGAATGTACACTTTTGGAGCAACCTTGTTCAAATTGTTCAGCATTTTACAAATTTTAATTGTGAAAGGGAAGTTCTTTGTAGTTTTCATAGTAATACCCATTGTTGCAATACATACTTGGATGTAAGGGTATATCAAGAGTTCTAATTCAGTTGATTTTAATGTCAGAGTGAACAATATAACACTGAGCAAGTGTAAATAGTGATGGAACTGCCAATTAATGATCCTTCTCATTTCTTTTTCATTGAAATCTTTCCTAACAGATCTACACACCAAAGCCAGCTTTCTGATAAGTCCAAATCCAACTTGGTATGCTGCTATATAATCAATGGATAAGAGTTCGCAGAAACAATTTTCCAAGAGTCTAAGATTCTCTCTTGTTTTTGCTTTTGTTGCTCCTGCACCTCCAATTCTAGAGTGATCCCCGAATGCATTAAGGAACTGCTTATATGCATATGTGGTTAAATCATCCTTTACGAACTCATTCCACATGATTAACTTCCTAAGAGCATCAAAGCAGACCAAGATAACTTCACTTCTCACTTCATAGTACCTGCACATGATATCACAGAGAGTTTTAGTAAAGATTTTCCTGTATACCTGGAATGGGAATGCAAACTTAACACAATCTACGACACAGCACAAAAACATTTGGATGCTTTCAGGCTCAGACCCACCTTTCAATAGCTTCAAGTAGTTAGAAATAAAGGATCTCATCAAAATAGTCTGTGTCTGCTTAGCTGTGGCATACAGTCTCTTGATCTTCTTATAGTTCTCCTCAGTTAGCTCGTCCAAGTTGATCTCTTCTTTGAAGAGTTTAAGAAGTACCTTTGGAAGCTTAGTCACAGACATTTCAATCACTTGTTTATATAGTGTTGGATTTGAGGATAGAATAATCTCAGTTTCTTTATCCTTAGTTTTGACTTTTTGCTTCTGTTCTTCATCTTCCTGCTCGTCCTTTCCCTTCTTCGAGTTATCAGTAGAAATCTTAATGGTCATTCTGAATAAACCCAAAAGTCTGGCTGCTATAGAAGTGGTGATTTTGCTCTCATCATCAACTATTTCCAGCAGCTTCCTGATTTGCTGAGTTTTAGATGAAGACTTATCGTCTAAAATTTCATCCATTTCTTGGATGTCTTCGTCTTCTTCCTCCGAAACCTTCTTTGATTTTCCTAAGGGTAATGATATAAACTTACTCTTTTTGGTTGGATCTTCTTGGTAATCAAGGAGGAGTTCCTTTTCAATATCAACATCCTCGTCCCCTTCGCTAAGCTCCTGGTTTTCGACTTCATCTTGATCAGAGAGATCCATTCCGATATCACTCTGGATGTCATTGAGGTCTTCAGATCTGCTCTGAACATCTTCATCGTCATCTAAAGTCTTAGAGGGATAAGGTCTTACCAAATTTAATAAGGTCTTCATGCTCCTTAATTTCATCTTCAGGAGCAGCACGTTCGTAAGTTCTGGTTTGTTGTGCTAGTTTTTGCTTGCGTTTTTCTTTGGCTTTCTTTGTCCACTTCTGCTTTCCTCTTTTATCTTTCTTACTGCCGAATGACTTGATTTGCTTTCCTGTTTTGCCCATTTAGCGTGTATTCAATTATTATTTACAAGGCTGGGGTTTTGGGGTTTTGGGGTTTTGGGGTTTTGGGG